AGGGCTGCCACCTGTTTAAAAAGTCGAATGTAACTATATCTATATATATACGCGAAAGGACTTTTTGTCCAGGTCATCAGATCTGTACCATTCGTTTGATTTTTAAAAATGAGGTATCAAATTAAAGGGCTTGATTTGTAGATGTGCAGTAGGCTTTTACTTTTCCGGGAAGAATGGCCACCTTTTAAAAAATCAAGTTGAGATTATTTATAAATCAATACCATCATATCCCATCCCTCGCTCGATTTTCAAAAATGAGGTTTCAAATTAAAAGGCTTGGTTGCAGATGTGCAATGAGGGTTTATTTTTTGAAAAGAGTTGTCATAGGTATCAGTCGAAATGGTTATTAAAAGCTTTGCTTCTTAACTGTGAAAGTGTTGCCCCTGTTTGAAAAATCAAACTAAATTTTATACAGGGAAATTACATAGGAAATTTACAAAATGTTTCCCAACAGGGTTCCAGACTAAAGGAATTTAAAAAGGTAGTAATTTGAAAATGTTTTGAAAAGGGTTGCCACCTGCATTAAAAGCCGAATTTAGTTATATGCAGTATTAAAATATGGGTGTTAAACGAAAGAATGCTAAGAAATCTTCAGTTTAAACATCACAATTTTGTTTGATGGTTGGAAGAGAGTTTAAATTTAAATGAATTATTAAGTTTAATAAATTAAGTTAATAAATAAGTTAAGTTAAATAAATTCTACAAGAGGTGATTTAATCGTTCATGGGTTTGAGAAGGATTTATATCTGAACTGTTTAGGAGAGTTGCCAGGTGATAAAAAAATTAAATTCAATTTAATTCTTCGGGTAATTGAATTATTTATCAAAGTATCAGACGAAAGAGCTTTAAACGATTTCAGTTTGCAAATGCTTCGCAGAAGGTTGCCACCTGTTTGAAAAGCCTAATTTATTTAGCTTTTACACAATTTTAATGAAATATTAAAATATAAGTGGAAAAAGAAAGAGTTTTAATAAAACTTTAGTTTGAAAATATTTTTGGTTAGGGTTGCCGTCTATTCGATTTTTATTTTGAGCGATAAAGTTCGGTAATTGTGTTATCAGCTGTCTCGATGAAGTCAATTGGCCCCCTCGGAGCCGCGATTTCACGCCCTTAGACTTTTTGTGCCATGCCGTGAAGGACCGATATAATGCGAACAATCTATTAACTATTCAGGCCTTTAAGGCGTATGTTGGGCATTTCTTACGATAGAGCCAGAAACCATCAACAAGGTAATGTTAATATATGTTCTTTCGAATAAACCCATTATATACCGAAAAAATTAGTTTAAGTTGATTTTTATAAATAAATAATTAATTTGTTATGCTCATCGGATCTTTAATGTGAAGGTCATCAGATCAGCACCGACTTTAAACATATGACTCGAATTATACTATCCCATATAAAATAACAGCCCAGCGAATCAACACTTGCTTCTATATTTAAACGACGCCAATTCAAAATTATTGTAGCGTTCGCAATAACAATTAATAAGTCTCAAGGTCAGACCCTAGCAAGAGGATTGCTTAACGCATGGCGTATTGAGTACAGTTGGTCTTGCCCAATTGCCAAGTTAAAGTTAACTACCAAAAGAAATGCATGTGGTTTTTAGAGTAAATAAATATGCAGACTTTTTAGACCACGGAGCACCCCGATTTTCGGGGATTTTACAGTTTTAATTAAAATAAATCATTTAATTGTTGAGAAAAGAAGCATTTCAAATGTCGATGAAATAATAGCTGATTTTTTTTTTTAAGCGAGCGACAAAAGAGCGCTCAACTCGGGTAAAATGTCCTTTTAGCTACTTAAGCAATTCTGCTGGTAGCTGGCAATAAACATGTGATTAGTTCAACGAAATTTAGACACAAAAAACAATAGAAATTAGTAATTATGCGAGGTATTTGCGTAATATATATAATAATAACAATAGATTGGCGCTTATACATATGTTAGTGTTTGGCCGAGCTTTTCCTCCGATATGTGGCGTGCGCATTGATGTTGTCATTTTTATGAGAAGCTGTTTTTCATGGCAGAAATACACTCGGAGGTTTGCCATTGCCTGCCGAGGGACGACCGCTGTTAAAAAAAAAAAACCATTTTCTATATTTTTTTGCGATGTTGCTTTTACCAGGGCTGGAACCCAGGTGCTGATGAGTGAAAGCACGCACTGCTTACCACACCACAGCGGCCGACGCGTAATATATATACTTATTTAAAATATAAATCATGCATATACTACTCTTCAGGTCGCATATATTTCAACCGACCTGTAGCTCGGTTGCAAATGAATGGACCTTATATATGTACATTAGACTGCATCGCTCCCATACATAATACAGTCAAATTCTTAAGTTTGTGAGCCACATACAAAATCAAAGACTTTCTTTTAAGATTGATAATCCTAAAAGTAAAGTTATATCAAAACGATCTAATTTTTTTAATTTCGATGATGATGGTAAATGAATTCCTTGAACATATGTGGTTGTGTTTAATGCAAAAGAGTTTTTGTATTTCCGATGATGAAGATGATTCGAGTATTGAGCAGGGTTCTCCTAATAAAAATGATATAAGGAATCTTATTCAAAGTCAAATTTACAGTTATTTAAGTGATTCAAAGACGGGAGTAGAAGTTTGGAAATTCTATGAATTATTAAAAGAGACTGCCATACTATTCAATACTCCATTAACATCATCAGGCCCTGTCGAAATGATTTTTTCTTCTGCGGGAACTATAAATACACCCAGGCACCATTCCTTAACCGACTTTTCTTTCGAAAACTTGGTATTATTAAAAGCTAATGCTAATTTGTAATTCCAGTGAATATGTTTGTTTAATTTTTGTTTGTATAAGTAGACGTTATTACGTAAGGTATTATGTATATAATATCTATATATGTATGTATTATGTTCTTTGTTACAATATTATCGTTTCTTGCAGTTTCTTTAAGTTGTATTGAAAGAAGAAAGAATATTTATGTTCACAGAATATAATGTACATAATTATAAATAATCAAAAATAATAAAAAAAATCAATTTTATTGTAAAACTAATCCCATTAGTTTTATTGATTATTTTTGATTTTTTTCTTCCAATTGGCTAAAAATACCATTATTTTTTTATTATTTTTAATGGTAATCGGTAATTATTAATTTAAAGGTGGAACTAATGGTAATTAATCATTTAGCAGATTTAACAAAAAGAATTAATTAAATCGGTTATCATTACAATTTATAATCATTACTTGACAGCTCTGATGTAAGTTAACTACATACATATGTATGTACGCTGTAAGACGATTGTACATGACATTAAAATTTTTGTAACTTCTTTCTAGACTTCAGCAGGGATCGAACCCGTATTATGGATGTGCAAAATCAGAAGCGCTAACCCCTGAGCATATTCACATCCCGTTAACTCTTGTATCTAATTCATTTCCTTATTCAACCTACTACTACCAAGTGCAGCTGTTTTGCCGCTATTTAAACTTGACAGCATGGTTGTTATTGTTGATTCCATATATGAAATAGATCCATAGTATAGTTTCAGGCACACTCATCCCAAACTATTTATTTTTTAATTTTATTGTGGCTTATTAATATTTGTTTCAATAACGTTATTGAGCTTTGTACCACGATTTTTTATTAGGAAAAATTTAAAAGGCAACAAAGTCTAAGCGGTAGAGGTTATACCAGCTATTTCTGAGATCACCACATCTCCTCATCAGACTTCTTTTTTCTAGACTTCAGCGGGGACCGAGCCCTCATTATCGATGTACAAAGTCAGAAGCGCTATCCTCTGAGCTATGCACACCCCGTAAACTCTTGTTGCTAATTCATATCCTCATTCAACGTACTACTATGTATCACGTGAAGCTGATTTGCCGCTATTTAAACTTGACAGCATGGTTGTATTGTTAATTCCATACATGAAATAGATCCATAGTATAGTTTTAGGCTACCGCTTAGACTTTGTTGCTTTTTCCATTTTTCTTAATAAACAATCGTGGTATAAAGCTCAATAACACTATTGAAATAAATATTAATTAGCCACAAAAGAATTGACAAATTAATAGTTTGTGATGGGCCTTCCTATGTCATGTATGGAATTAAGAATAACAACCATGCTGTGAAGTGTAAATTGCGGTAAATCAGCTTCACTTGATAGCAGTAGGTTGAATAAGGAAATGAATTAGCAACAAGCGTTTACGGGGTGTGCATAGCTCAGGGGTTAGCGCTTGGGACTTTGCACATCGATATGCGGGTACGATCTCTGCTGAGGTCTAGAAAAAAAAGTCTGATGAGAAGATGTGGTGAGATCCGAAATAACTGCTATAACTTCTACCGCTTCCACTTTGTTGCTTTTTCCATTTCTTCTGATAAACAATCGTGGTACAAAGCTGAATAATAAAGGTTTTTGTTCCCGTTTATTTATCAATTATTTTCCTTTTACCTATACCAACCCATGGCACAAGACTATTTAGCATTATCCACATCGCCTTAAAAGTATTCAGAAGAAGCACATTGCACTAACTGAAATTTTTTCGCCTGCAGGATCGCCTATAATATACTATTTATTTACTTGCGCCGGCAGCTACAGTGTTTAGAGCACCTTTATATCAAGACGCCTGCACCATCTAGGGAATTCATTTATATTTTAAATTGCATTGTCATCGTGATCGGAACTATGCTGAAAATTTCAAGTCTCTAGCTTGTCGAAAGTTAGTTTAAAATCGATTGGAAATTTGCGCGGGATGAGTAACTTAAATAACAGCTTGTAAAAAATCCTCAGCTTATAGAACCCGTTAAAAAAATTTGAAGCGAATCGTAGGTATGACATAATTTTTTTACAAAATCCGTCTGACTTAAAAAATAATGCCGCCTCATATGTAAGGGCGCTAGGGATAAATCTTCTTATTTAAAGAGTTAATATTGTACCTATATATTCAGAAGCACTTTTGTGTTTATTTTTTAAGCATAGAAATTGAACGAGTTTTTTTTTTTCAGGAAGATGATTTGATTGCTACAGTGGAGGAAAGCTCGTTTGTTCAACGGCGGTATGCGAAGTATTTCGACATGGTTATTGTAAATGAGAACTTTGACAGTACCTTTCAACAAGTGGTAAAAGTACTAGACCAAATGAGCCATGAAGAGCAGTGGGTACCGGTCGATTGGATATATTAAAATCCATTAGCTATTTACTTTTTAAACATTTTCCCTCTAATAAAATTGCAATTGCATACAAGCTATTCATTGGCTAAACTATTTTAAATGCACCGATAATATGCATATATATTTCGTAGAACTTTAGCTTAACGTTACCTTAATTCACAAAGGCCATAACCTACAAATTTTTTAGGAGAGCTACAGGAGAAGCCAAAAACAGTATCAAAAGAGTGTCAAAAACAGGTAGGGATTTTTAAAAAGTGGCATTTATCTCCGTTGTTTTTGGTACTAACACTTTAAAATTTTTATTGAACGTGTATTCATCCTTCCAAAATCTGTGCAAAACGCAGTTTCGAAAAATCTGTTTATTAGGGCCTTTGTGTATTAAGGTACCGATATAATTGTTTATAATAATCAGCGTGTGTTCGAATTTCCAGCGCTGGTTACTTACATATATGCGTACCTATAAGGAGTGCGTCACGTTTTTGTTTATAACTTCTTTCTTGTTTTAAGTTTGTTCAAACATAATTTGGTTGTAATCGTTCTTAGGGAATGAAAAAAAAAATATCTGTAGAAAATTAAATGTTTTTAAGGATGAATAATGGAAACTATCAGGAACTCCTGTCGAAGGTGGAGCCTTCAATACAAAATATGGATACCTTCATGAGTGACGCGATTACATCCCATCAGCGGCAATCGGCTACTCTTAAGAATTTTGTCATCCGGCGAAAGTTTCAAAGATTTGAAATTTTTGACAGCGATATCTCCAAAAAGCCTAAGCCGTTAATATTGCATTAGATCTTGTAAAGCAATGCTGGGCACACTAACACAGTGTGATTTTGTCGTGGTATTAGTGCGTCGCGCTCAGTTATGGTTGCCACATTTTATATAAATGTTCTAATGTCTATTTGCTTATACGTATAGTAGAATAGTGAATCTTGGAAGTTTAAGCTACTAATACTATAAGTTTATAGAAACTTTTACATACAAAAAATTTAGTACTTGTAAAATTTAAATTGGTAACTAATTTGTTTAATACCTGGGAACCGTTTTGTTAGAATCAAATCTTTAAAATGCTGGCCGGCCAGATCGTTACGGTGTTTAGATTTTATTATTTTCATATAAATAGGTGTTTAGTCCTAAAAATAGAGTACAACTTATAAATATTATTCATTAAGTATTTTTGGGCATTTGCATTTCTCTATCGATTTAAAGAAAAAAAAATTCGAAACTAAAGTATGCAAATTGTGCCCTTTTTATAGAAATTATAAAATTATGTAGTGAACGTTAATCAGCAAGCGGCCCATTTTATATTATAAATTCACACGGCATGAAAAATACGGTTTCTTATATTAAAAATACGTAGGACATTGTGGGGTTTTTGTAAATTTCCTCCGAAAAATGTGGCACGCGTGTGCTAAGATTACGAAGAAAAACAATCAACAGCCGAGCGTGATGTTATCTTGGTGAAATCTGCAAGCAGACTGAATCGAAATTCGCTGCTTTGCTTCTGTATACGTATACGAACTGCAGTGCTGGCGTTGCTCGCGAGCAAAAATTGTCCACCTTTGTTGTAAAGCCATAATAAAAACATTATTCACTGATATTGTGTATCTGAAAATGGTTCGTCAAAAGACTGCGCTGACCCGGAATTCTTTGATTGAATAAACTCTGGTTATTCTGCGAACACTGACTGCGAATATTCCTTTCGTGGTATGGTGTTTTTTTTATTCAAGTATTTCGGGCGTTTTTGTGAGATCTGTGGAAGAAAAGTATGGAACAGACGACGATGAACTATATGGAGTAGAGGGAGGAGCGAGATATTCGGTTCGTTCAGAAGGCGCAGCAGTTGAGCGCAACCGTTGTTAAAAAAAAAATCAGAGATTACTGAGCTACATTACGTGCCTTTTGAATGGCTTGATAAATTAGCTGTGAAAGGTACACACAACATGTTTTCTCAGATGATCAGAAAAATATTAAATATCATCTAAAACTCAACTGTTGAGTATATCATAAGTACATAACAGAGACAGGCTTGCGTTGAACGCCAACTATTTCTTTATTTATTTTCTTCAATAACATAGCTATTTGCCCCCACCTTTATTATTTCTCGCTAATGTTTACACCGCGAAGAATAATAGAGTTACTCAGTGAATTTTAGATCGCGTTAAAACGTCTGTACTGACCATTCATCCACTTCACACTTCCAATGGAATAATTGGCCGTGTAAGCGTTGCAAACCCTCGACTTTTATGAAGCAATTGGATCGTGTATACTTTGCAATATGTCGACTTTCGCGCTTTCTCGCGGTTTTCGCCGGCACTTAAGTTACCAAAAAGCACCGGGCGATTCATATGAGGCATAAACGTAGAGGAAAAAATTTCGGAGCAAAACTTAACTCGGTATCGGGTTTCGATACGAGTACTTTTCTTCGATACCTATTCAGTACTTGGCTCTAAATTATCGATGCCAAAATTACTTGGTATCGAACGAAAGGTATCGAGTATGTACTTGTATTTACTCGTATCGTTTCATCTCTACTCTAGTGTTGGAAAACTATCGATAGTCGGCACTATCGATACTTAACGATAGTCTGAAATTAACTATCGATAGTTTCCGATAGTTTTTTTAAGCTAAGCGAGTTATGCTAATATATGAATATGGCACATATTTATGTGGAATATTATAGTTAGAATGATATAGCTGACAAAAAATTTTCTGACCAATAAATAGTTGTATTAAAAGAAAACTATAGAAATTCATTTTACAACCATTTTTTAGTAATGTAAGAAAGAAGGATCTATAAAAAATAAAGCGGTCTTTTACTAAAAAGTTCATTGCACCTTCGTGATGCTACATATTATAGTAAAAGAAAAGTAAAAGCGCGTGCTCCGGGCTATTACCGTTACGATTCTGGTAAAGCATTTAAGGTGCACCTCAACTTTTTTTGAAATGCCAGTTAAGCTGCTCTAGCGCTCAAGGCCTCATATAATAACTGGATACATTCACATACTTATATAAATACATTTTTATTCAATCTCCGAATACGTACATGTATAAAGAAGAATATAAAAAAAATAACAACACATAAATTTTATTGCAACGCACGCGTTTAAAAATATACTTTTCATAAAAACGCGCTTTTAGCTATTGTGTTATGAACGGGATCTTAGCCGCAGAACAAAAAAAAATTATTTAAAAATTCGGCTTAAGTGCATATACCGAAGCGCTAAAGCGCCCAAATACATCGCAGTAATTGCTGTTCATATCCTCTACATATGAATCAAAGATCTATCAATAAGTATTGAAAGTGTGGCATATTTCGTGATATCAATCACATGCATTTCGAACAAATTAGATGTGGCATTACCATACATATAATAAAAATTGTAGATGATTTTTAATAAAATAACATTAAGATAAGATTTCCAAGCTTCATCAATTGGACTTTAAACTTCTCGACACAAAAACATGCCAATAGTGACGCGATAAATATTGAACATTCCCGCGATATCGATCACATTTTTGAAATCAATCAATATGGATCACGATCCAAATATCACAATAAATATTGAACGTGTGACAGGCGCCCTACACTGATAACACTGTGAGACAAATGGTAGGGGTCAGTGATCGGGAAGGGTTCAAACTACCGGGGAAAGTTATATCGGTAAAAAAGAAGTTATACGTGTCCCGGCGTTTCGCTGGGTCACGTCTAGGAATCGAGATATATCGATTTGAAGTTAGTAACTATCATATAGGGGAAATTGTCACCTTTGGTGGTCTTTTTTTTGACATAACTCGAGAACCACTAGTCCGATTTTGCTCAAATAAATTTAAAAAAATTACAACAAATTACAATTTCTTTAATCTGTTCATATAACGTTTTTCTATATAATCAACAGTTTTGCCGGTAAAAATAAATGTATGAAGAAAAATATTTTTCTGTTGAGTATATAGAAAAAAGTTATATTAACAGATTAAAGGAATTGTAATTTTTAATTTTTTTAAATTGGTTTGAACAAAATCGGACTAGTGGTTCTCGAGTTATGTCAAAAAAAAAAGACCACCAAAGGTGACTAACTTCAAATCGATATATCTCGATTCCTAGACGTGACCCAGCGAAACGCCGGGCCACGTATAACTTGTTTTTGACCGATATAACATTTCCCGTTGGTTTCATCCCATCCCGATTTTGACTGTGGCATAGTGTAATTAACGAGTAGACTGCCCAGCGATAATTTTCTTCGATATGTGGTTAGTAATTTTTGCTAAGCGCTGTGTTGCCTGATCAACGCAATTGTTTCTAGTATCGATAGTGCCATCGATAGTTTTCCACCACTACTCTACTCTCGAATAGGGAAAAATACGATGTGTGTAAATAAAATAATGGCTGCCGATTGGCAATCGGTATTCAGCAGTGCTGCCATTAACAATATTGAGGGATTTTTGAGCAGCCACACGTCACACTACGGCAACCCTTTGCGCTTTGTTTACATTTCTTTTTCGGACAGCTGAAACATATTGCAACTTGAACACATATTGGTAAGTATGAAAATTCAGTAAATAAATACAATGGCCAGTAGTCATAGAGAAGTTAGAAAAAAGTTTTAACGATTAAAATTGTGTTTTATTGTCATCGCCATTTGAACTCTTTCATAGTCAACTTAAAATGCATTTTATGGCAGAAACAGAATTTTAACTTTAAGATGAGGAGAACGCGGTTTTAAAATGGTAAAATAAGGTTCTAAGTTTTGTTTTGTTGTTGAAATAGTAAACGCAATAGCACCCAGGTTCGGTCCCCACTCCGAGCGATTCCAAAATTTGTTTTTTTTATTTTAGTATAAACATTTTATTTTAGTTTATTAAATTTTGTTTTATTATCTTTCTTTTGTTTATGGTATTTCATATAATTATTTCATTATTAATAAAATTTTTTGGGGTTTAACTTAAATTAAAAAGGCCACAATAACTATAATTAAATAACAAAAATTCAAATAATATTTAAAAGACTAAAAGCGATGTAAAAAGAATGTTCCCTGGCAGTGGGATTCGAACCCACGACTTCCCGGATTGCTAAATC